TGTATACCTGGAAAGCCTAGGTATATTCATAACCGGTCAGATATTCACTGATTCTATATTGTACACTTTGATTTTTGTTTCTCCTAGATATGGACATAGTATACCTACTATTTTAACTCAACAATCTGATCTGACCCAGGATATTCTGGAAGATTGAGTTCAAATCTGTCCTCCAGCGTCCTGTAGCATAGCGATCATAAGCAAGAGAGATTGAAGGGTGTGAAAGTCAACTAACTTGGGTATAAACCTTCCGCCAAGAAAGTGGCGACCCTTGAATGAACGCACACCCAATTTCGGAGCAGTCAAGCTAACGAGTACGTCCGGCTGTAGTCCAGCAGGCTCGATTTTTCCTTCTTCAACATCCCAGCCAGATGGTATGTCCACTGAGACAATTGGAAGACGAGACTCAGTCAAGAAAGGTAAAGCAGAGTCGAATGGAGCGCGTATGGGTCCTTTGAACGAGAAGCCAAATATTGCGTCTAAAATCACATTCGAAGAGTTAAGGGCATCGCGAAGAACCGATGCATCATTAGAAGGGGGAATAGTCTTGACCTTCATATTATCGCATTGGGTTTTGAGACGCTGTGAGATTCTGGTTGGCATATAAGAATGGTAGTAGTCGATTCCAATTACCTGGTATATTTCTTTGGATCCAGGCTGATTTATGCGGTGAGTACATCCCAAAACCAAAGACCAATGAAAGGCACCTTCGGCATGAAGATTGTAGGTGTATAACCGAACATCCCTGAATCGCAGTAAGCACTTTAACTTCTGTTATAGACCGATTGCCTGACCTAGATGACGAGCAGCTACTAAGCCATCTCCCCCTTGCAATGAGATCAGTACCTAGCAATTCCGGACATCAACGTTTGGAAAGATGGTGCACCTTGGTTTCCAGGACCACAGCACACCAAAACATTGGGATACCTCTTCTTGTCATACACACGGGCTAGAGCTTGCGCGCAGGCCAATCCAGCAAGTTCCATGAGCTGCATTGGGATTGTAGTTTAGCCGTGTATACGTATATTGAGAGCATTGAACACTACCTGATCGATACTGAACGCCCCTGCTTGGTTCATAAGCTCTTCGTCAATCTAGAAGGCGGCTCTTAGTACCAGGTGCCATCGGGCATTCAATTTCGTTCAATCACTTGTTGAGCAAGCTTTGCAGTTAGATATTTCATCGACATGATGGTAAAAAAAAACAAGAAACCTGAATCTCTACGAACATTTCTAAGCAGCACAAGCTCAGAGATTGCTGTGTTAGTACACGTGTGGCCAGACGTTTAAGCTTCCACACTTCTATGCCCACTTTTCTCCACTAACGCTTCTTAGAACCGCTAGTTTCACCATCTTGACCCCCTCGACGTCGTTCAAGATGCTCACCATCGTTGGGGCACCGCTTCTTTTATTAATCCTTTCGAACTGGGTTCGAAGCTCACCAGTATCCTCAAGTGATTGGATTCTGGATTCAACGTTCGGAACGCAGGCAACAATAGCATCAGAACAAACGAAGGCAGCAGTGGTGGACTTGGAGATAGACTTAACACAGGGATGGGTAGACCCAAGGATACTTGGCGGGCAATTACTGGATGTGAGCAAATGTGTACAATTTACGTCCCTACACGCACTCAATATCTAAAGTTCACAACTCGTCGCAAAGGTGAACCTCTCAACGTTATCATTTCTGGCAAATCGGATCCCTACATCCTTTCTGAGATCGGTTTCTCCATTTATGCCAAGTAAGTTTCTCTCATTTGTTTCTATCTTCCTCAACTGAATCCCACTCAGGTCTCTCGGCTTTTCGAGCGAATGCCTTGGTTTACATTATGGTAATATACATCAAGCCAACCTCGGCGACGGCAATGAAAAACAAGATGAGCAGCTGCTTGCCAGACAATATTACTTCACAAGACCCGGTGGTCCCGTTCTTGGTACTTGTTGGGAAAGCCTAGCTGGTGAGTAATCAGCACTTAGCTTGATTTTTGGTATTTATATCCCTCAGGTGGAAATCATTTCCGTGCGTGGAAACAGAACGGTACCAAGGCAGACACTGGTGCATGGTTCCTAGGTGTTTCCAAGGAAGAAGTCAGTTCGTTCTGCTTGGCTAAACCTATTCTCATATCGTCTACTTTCAGCACTCCGGCAAGCATCATATGATTATACCCGATGGTTATAATATTGGGAGGGACTTCCTCGTCGCCCAAGCCGTCTCTTCTCCCACTCACTGGAATTCTCTCTGGTGGCAAGCGGAGGTAGAATGGGTCCAGGGCCTTCTTGAACCAGGCAGTGACGGTGTAAACCACGGGATCAAGCAAGATGGATATGTAGCGGTACTCACCGTTATACGTCTGTAAACACGACCCCACCATCTCGCACGACGACTCTCGCGCAACCTTCACGAGTGTCTGCATAGTTCCTTGACTTCTGTCAATCTCTCGAATCTATCCTCACCGAGTTTCTATTAGAGTTCCTGCTTGCCATGTCTATCACGATTTCATCTTCTTTGTACTTACGCCCCTCTCTCAGTGTTCACACTATTCGTCTATGTATGTCAATCCTTTGTACACTCACATTTGTATGTATCCTCTTTATGGAGAACTAATTAGACCCTTTCACTCTATTATGCTGGACCATCGGTAAAAAGGGAACCAATAACTACGTTGTATTTATAGTCCTAATCAAACTTTCATCGAAGAAACAAATCTTCCTTATTTTCTTGAAAGTAATGTTGAATTGATATTTTTCCGAACCAAATTTCCTTCTTCTCTTTATCTTCAGAGTCGATGACACCGTCATGGAAAAATTTTTCCTCAACGCCGTTCTTTATCTGATCTTCTCCTAAAGCCATCGCTTCAGCGTATGGCTCCGGCAGGGAAAGCAGTCGCATCGCACGCTCCTTGAACTCACTCCGAGAGAGGTCGCGGTGAGTTATGGTTCGGCCAGTGACGGACGAAAAAGAAGCAGCGACCTACAGAATTAGATAACAGGGTAATAAGGATTGTATAGAGAGAGGTCTCACCTCCGCATAGGAGAGTAGCTCGGGGCCAAAAACAATGCAGGAACCGTTCAGCGGTACATTATCTGTCATCGCATGGAACGCAGCATCTGCAATATCCCTGGCATCCACAAAACCAAGTTTAGAAGAGCCTGTGGATGAAACGACACTGTTATTCATCAGGTCGGTGTAGAACAACCGACTTGGGAGGGCGTAGAAGTTCTCTGAAAAAAAGAAAAGATGAGATTTAAGTACCTGGGATGAGTTCAACATACCTACGGAAGAACCACGAAGGGCGAATTGCTGCATATTCCACTCCGAGGTCTGCCAGGTACTTGTGCACCGCACCATGAGCAATTTCTCCCGGTGGGATTATGCTAGCACTGAGCAGGACAAACCTCTTGACGCCTTTGATCTTTGCAGCAAAATCAATGAAGGGTCTCATCTGGTCTAACATATCGATGACTTTGGGCGGGGTCATGAAAATGCTTTGTATCACGTCCGATTCAGCTTCTGCGAGAGAAAAAGGATCCTCGAACGTAGATTTGTCAGTCCAGTCGAATGCAACGCCGGTTAGTGGGGTGGGGACATTTCCGGAACGGCTAGTGGAGAGAGCTGGAATCTTTGAGGCCTCAAAGAGTCGAGAGAGTGGAACCCCTACTTTGCCTGTTCCGATGACGAGGTGCATAGTATTGTGTGCTCTTTCTGATTCTCTGAGCTTGCAGAGTTTTTATATCATCGACCTGAACCTTGCATCTGATATTGAGCAAACTCTGGCAGGTTATAAATCCGACGGAAGACCCAACGGAACCAAGAACGTCGGTTCAGGTAATTTCCTCAATCCACGTGTACAATAATGGTGAATCTTTCTCAACGTTCAACTTACAGCGACTGTGTAAGTTGCCGCCAGTAAATATTTACATACTCGCTAATCCGCTTGAAAAATGACTCTGTTCTTCGCATCACTAATGATTCCCTTCCCTAGTCCCTTCGCAGTCCCTTTACATCTCCCTTGGCATGCTTCCACAGAAAACACGAACGGGACCTCCGTCGGCATAGTCTTGGGCGAAGTGAACCGGTTAGTGAAAGTCACTTGTATATTTCCAGATATGCCCAATTTCGACTTTGCTGCATTCAGCAGACTCTTGACAGCTACCTTGGCTGCATTCTGGACTTTAGTGGATTTTCTAGGACCGGTTACAGGGAAGGTGACTGAAATTGTAGTCGTGGAGTCGGGGTCAATGGCCCTTGGGCTAGGATTCTTCCGTGCGTCAAAATCTACATGGATGCTTGGACTGCGGGGACTATGCACGGCGTGCCCTAGGAAGACGGTCTCCGTAGAGCTGGAGTGACGACGGTCGAGCTCCTGGAAAAATTGTAACGAGTGTTAAATAATATTCGACCTTGATAAATCAAAACTTACAGATGAAGGTAATGCATATACAGCGGATACAATCCCAAGGACAAGGAAGGAGGAAAAATTGAAACGCATGGCGACTGTGTACACAGGATGACTGCAAAAATATAAGTAAGTTCTTGGAAGACCCAAGACTACGAAGTATCAAATGTAACTTACTCTTACTGTTACAGATTGGAGGGAGCTCTCTTTGACCAGCAAAGAGGAGCGTAATGCAAGACGGGGATTGTAGAACTTGAGGATCACAACATTTATCTGGCGCGTTCTTTGGCTTGCACTCGGGTTCGCGGTAGGTAATTACACTCCATGTTCTCTCTTACCGCAGCCCCGCGTGTTGTCAAATGCCAGATCGATGCATATAGCAATCATATGATTTTTATTTTCCCTTGCGTCTAGTCCTAGTCAGATCTTGAGTTTGTCTGATCTCCTTAGTGTTTCAAGCTGCTGTTAAATCTCATTGCGTTTGTTATAAAACCTCAAGGGAATTGTCGTACTCAACCTTTATTGTTACTTTAATTGGCTAGTTCATAAGACATCCCTCCTACTAACTATATCGCCTGAGATTGCAAACAAAAAAAAATAATACTGCCTCCTATCCGATTCGAACGAACGACCTTTGCATGAAACTACAGTTTTACAAGTGCAACGCTCTAACCCCTGAGCTAAGAAGGCGCTGAAATAAGTCGAAAGAATATAAAGCCACAGTTTAAATTCATTGTACATACGCAATAATCGAGGGTGGTCCCATTTTCTGACCACATAGAGTAAGAAGGCAAGGGAAAGAACTTAATTTATTCATTCCTCAATATTATGCTCAACAATTCCTCATACTACTAACAAAAGCTTAAAGTACATGAATGTATTCGCAAGGTTATGAGAAGAGCTTGTTGACAGACGTGTTGCCTTCTTGGTTCTTTTTTAGGACCTGGCGAAATACTGTCAGTAGGCAAACTCCAGAAAGAACAAAGCACCGTACCTTTGCGACGGCAAACTCAAAGTCCTCCTGGGTAACATGTTGCCGGCGCTCTCGAAGAGCGTACATTCCTGCATGACATTGTTAATCGACGGACATTCGATATATTGCAAGTACATACCAGCCTCTGTACAGATACCTCTGACCTCTGCCCCAGAGCACTGCCCCATCTTCTCCGCGAGGGCGCGCAAATTTATCCCTCGTTGAAGCGACATCTACCCAACCCATCAGTAAATATGTAGATGACAGAATCGGGATACCAACCTTCCTGGAGTGGATACGCAAGATGGACACTCGAGCTTCAGGGCCGGGCGGTGGAAATTCGATCTTTCGATCAATGCGACCAGGTCGCAGAAGAGCAGAGTCAAGGATATCTTAAAGCGGGCAATCAGTAACAGGACCGACAGCAGCCAATAACACACTCACCGATTCGATTAGTAGCCATGATGACCTTGATATTTTTCGTACTCTCGAAACCGTCCAGCTGGTTCAGCAGCTCCAGCATTGTTCTCTGCACCTCCGAGTCTCCTCCACCACTACCGCTTTCTCCACGCGATGAACCAATAGAGTCGATTTCATCCATGAATATGATTGATGGTGCGTGTTCTCGGGCCATGACGAACAGTTCACGAACCATCCTTGAGCCCTCTCCAATGTACTTTTGCACGAGCTCAGATCCAGATACACGGATGAATTTACAGTCGGTATGATGAGCGACGGCCCTTGCGAGGAGGGTTTTACCCGTTCCAGGAGGCCCGTACAAAAGCACACCCTTTGGTTGTGCGATACCCAGGCTTTCAAAAAGTTCAGGATGTTTGACAGGCAGTTCGATGACTTCTTTAATTTCTTTGATTTGCTTGTCCAAGCCACCAACCATCTCGTACGTCGAGTCGGGTACTTTTTCGACCATCATAAGCGAAACGAGAGGGTCTATCTTGTTGGGTAGAATTTTGTGGATGGTGTACGAATCGGAACGGAGGGCAATGCGGAGATTTGGAGTTAGGGAGTTGATGTCAATTTCAGAGTCGAGGTCGACGACTGCGAAAAGGTGTTGATCATAATGTCATGGATGATGATGGTTGACATACTGTATTTCCCTTCTGGTTGCACTTTGACCAGCACCTTATTCTTTCCCATAACTTTGACGACTTCGCCGACATAGGAACCTGGTTCGTGTAATAACTGAAGTTCCTCTCGAAGCAGACGGACTGATAAAGCGATACATAAGATTGAGAGACGCAGAGTGCGATGAGCATACCTCTTGCGTTTAATGCATTCCGTTGTGCTTCTAGTCGTCTCAGGTTCTGTGTCTTCTGGTTGATTGTGAGTTCAGCTGATTCAATCTTAGCTTGGTAGTACGCCTTGATTCCTCCTGGAACAGAAGCAGGCTTTAAATCTATGGATGTGCATCAGGGTTCAGTAGTAATGCGATTCGCTGTACCTACCGAATCGCAGTGGTGCAGGCATGGTAGAAAGAGACTGACGCGTCGCGCTGTCACGTTGTGTCACTATAAACCGAGTACTGTCACAGCTTGCCTTTTAATCATCTGTGGGACATGGCAAATAACGTACGCCTTCTTAGCTCAGGGGTAGAGCGTTTCACTCGTAAGCTTATGTGTAAGATTACATGAAAAGGCCGCTAGTTCGAATCTGGTAGGAGGCATTATTTTTTAGTTTGTTTACAGCTATCATATTCATTTTCGTCCAAACAAGTCTTAGGACCCCCACTGTCTACGCTACGGTGACTCGCAAAGCTCACACCACGCTGCAGCCAGGTTCACAGCTGCATGGCGGCTTGCCCCCAAGCCCCTTTTTAGTCATAGCTTTGTTCCTCCTTATGCTCAGTTTCTATGTGGTAAATATACTCTACTATAGCAAAAGCTAAGTGAATTGAGAATGGATATTAGATATTTCTTCAATATAAATGGCAAGGCCCAGTGATATAAGTGTTTCTCTAGCTAACTCCACCCTATGTTCTCACTTTTAGAAAGTATGTAGTTTAATACCAGGATCCTCTAGTTTCTAGACATCTACACCATAAATGTAAAGGCCTACATTCTTGCCACAGTCAAGTAAGTGAATCTAAATTTTTCACAGTCATCAATAGTACACTGTTGTAGAGTAAGCTCAGTTGAGATAGGACAGCTGAGGGAATTAAACTACTACTCCTTGCAGGTATGTAAGCCGATCGCTTGGTCGTATGTAAGCTGCGGAGTGCGACCGGAATAAAATGATAAGTAATTGTCATGTATATCGAAATAGGAAATGTCAATGCTGGTCTTACGGAGTACTGCTCAACATACACCAATTCTCAACTTGAGATGAGAGATAGGAAAACCTGAATCATTAATACCATTCAGATACTCAACAGGATGATCAAAATCATCAGAGTATTCTTGTTAAGAATATAGGTAATCAATACTCAGGCGTCTCACAGTAAGGTGGAAATGACTGTATTGAGTCGTTACACTACCTGTTAAGAATATAGGTAATCAATACTATGTGAAGAAATCAGTAAAGGTACGAAGAGTATCAAAGAAGGTATAGAGCTCACCTCAGGCGTCTCACAGTAAGGTGGAAACGACTGAGGTGAGCGATAGGTAAAGATAGATATAAATAAGAGTCCGAAACGGCTAATCGAATAAGAAACGGAGGCAGATAAGTAAAAAGTCAAACGGATTTCAAAATGTAGTAGAATGGGAAGTAGATAAATGATAAACTAAGCCGATGCGATGGAACGGCGGGAGGGATCAAGTATCGCGACAATTCTGTTGGGCCATCCTGTCAATCGACAATGATGGGTTTCATCGGGCTGCGCTTCTTACATGGACTCGTATAATAGGGGAAAGACGGCAAACCATCTACAGTGATTGTTCTTCGACACTACCTGTTAGTCGCCATCGTATCTCACTCTTACCTTCTACTCATCACTAGGAAAATCACTACTAGAGGTCATTCCCTCAATATCTTCGTCGACTATCTGCAAATCATTTAGAAACACAACATCTTCTGCTACAACGCTCTCATTCTCATGCACTTAATATCACTCTGCAGGAATTTCGAGAGACAACCGCTACATCTCTTCCTGAAATGGACCACAAACCCAGTACCAGATGACGACGCAATTGCGGTGCTCAAGAACTGTATCTTTGTAAACTGATGCGCCTAATAAAATAAAGTCCCATGTATATTATTCTATCACTACAAGCCCTAAAAAAAAATTTCCTTATTCACTGGACGTCCGCCGGTCGAGCGAGTCTAAATTCTTCGTATTTGCAAGCCCCGTCCTGTTAACGTGTCAAAGCTGAGATAGCGCTTTGCCCTTCCCTAGATGGTGGCGTAAGGTGACTGGAGAGTAGGTAGGAGGCGCTATTGTCATGAGTGACAAGACCTGAACCAAAAGTCTGCATGCCAGACTTGACAATCATATCAGAAGCGACATCTGTGCCGTATTGTTCTGCAAGTTGACTAACGAACAATCGGTCAATATCCAAAAGCAAAGCAAGGAGAGTACGTACCTCGCGTAACTATTTACTATCACTTTCATCACACTCGGATCTAACTGGTATCTCTTTGGAATCATTCCCTTTCCAAACCTATACGTGACGTGATTGGAGCAGAGGAGACCCGCAACGATAGCACTTAGTTGCAGGGGAACCAACCCGAAAGTGATCGTGTACCACCTTTCCAAGATACGCCTCTGCAGGTTCATATATGCTAGCTTACACCCCGGAAGTACAGATCGAGCGTAACAGGTCTGTGAAATGGTCGCTTCAACAAAGGGTGAGAACCAACCACAACATTGTAGTCGGTTTTGAATTCGTAAGCGGCCTTCTGCTCCGAGGGCTCGAGACCACTCCGAGTTGAGTTTGCCTTCGAGATTGAACGTTCGCTTTTTGTACGTGATATAACCAGGGATGACCAAGAACGCAAAGGTTAACCAGAGAAAAAACGTGTAGACTGCGAGGAAACCGCGATTGTTGAGTAAGATACCGGCCCAGCCAACCATAGCGGTGAACAACCCAAATATTGCAGCGAGAGTACTGAAGATGAGTTCAGTGCGATTACCGACACGAATAACGTCGGCGTGCTGGAAAACATCGAACCAGGTGAGAAGGCAGAATATTAAAGTGATTAGAGTATAAACTGAAAATATAGTGTTGGATAAGAAGAGGATGATTTTGAACGTGTTCCAACGGAGTTCCGTGTTTTTTGTTGCTCGCCTTTTGGACCTTTCATCGCCAAACCGCCACGCGCTAGATACGTTGACACCATCGTAATCATCATCGTTCTCAGCGGGCATCCTGGCTTCGCCGCTCCTGAACGCGTCAATTCCTCCTCCACGAGGTATACCCATAGCCCCAACGCCACTCATTGCATTTTTTGATTTGCGTTGCCGTGGCCTAGAAGACTCGAGAAGTGCACCGGAGAATTTCAGTGGAACATAATTGACGGTGAGGGATATATTGGTGCTACTCCCAGACGGTGAAGGCATCGCGCTTCCCGAAGAGCTGGGCGAGATTGAGTGTGTCTGTGTGAATGGTGCAGAAGGAGGTTGAAAATCATCAGAAAGGCGTCCGGGGTCGACATGGGTTTTTGCAGAGGATGGATGTTTCGATGCGCGAGATTTGCTGCACGAAATTTTGAGAAAATGGGACCCTTATAGAAAAAAAAAAGAAAAAAAAGAGAGCTTACATGTTCATCGGATTGTTCGCAAAAATAATGAATAAACGGGTGATTTACCAGACGACGCTGTAAATTTGCCAAAGTGGAAACACTTTGATATTTCGACCAGCGGAACAAAGGGGAAAAAGACAGCGAAGGTATACTGCGGAGAGACAGCGTAGAGGGAGCCAAGACTCATGAGTCATGACGTACCAAGTCAAAGCAAGCTTTTGAGCACACAATTGCAATTTAGATAATAAGGCGTATATTTCGCTTGCTTCTTGAACGGGAATAGGAACTAGAAGCTTGCAAGTTTACCAAGCTCACCGCTCGTTGAAGAAGCTCAGCAAGGCCTCATGGCTTCGAAGGTTGTACAATAGCGATCCAGAACAGGACAAAGAATCCAAGAAAGATTTATTGATCATTTTGCTTCAGAATTTCCGATTTAGAAGGCCTTTTTCGAATACATGCATCACAGAATGAAGCCAGAAGGTAAAGTCGGGACTTGGCAACGGTAGTCAACTTCAGTGAGGAAGGGATACACGAGAAGGACAAGCGCTCTGGACTAAAGCTTTATATCGGGCACAACCCTGAAATATGGCATCTCAATTGGGCCGCTTTGTCGAATTATTCACATCTCACGGCCCCCCCGAACTTGGGACCCTTCGTTACTTGCACTGGAAACTCATTGCTATGACTTTGAGCTCGAGCATAAATACAGATTGTAACAATAATATGTAGAAATGTACACAAGTTCAACTAATTACGATTAAGGCAGTCATGTAGGAAATGACGGCCCAACGAGCGGTTCAAACCATATAGCTTTCTCTCACTCTCTTGTCAAGTTGAATGCAGACATGATTGATGACTATCGATATCGGACCAATCACTGTTAGCAGATGACTCTGGAGCTTTCTAGAGAACGCCTACTCTTGTTGCCTGCTCAACATGTAAGCAGCAAAAATCTTTGTTGGATCGAAACATGGTTTTACGCATAGGACAATATTGGCAAGATAAACGCAGCAGATGATTCTTGTGCATCAGTCGATGCGATTGCCTTTGGAATTCGGCATGTCTAGTATATCCATAACAAACTAAGCCTGAGATCGTCGTTGGAACATACTCTGATGGAAAAGCATTTCAACGCGCATCCCCAGCTGATAGCCAGATCTGAATCACGGCAAGTTGAAGAACAAGTCATGTTCAAGTAGCCTACAAGTTGCTGCCAAAAGTAAGTTGGCCGTCAAACTGAAATCGGTAACAGCCCTTACCTACTTTTTCTCTGGAAAAAATTGATTAAAAACTGTGCTTGAACTACTCACAACGACGGACCACTGTCACAAATTGACTCCAAGTTGGCAATTTAATTATATAGCATGGAACATTCCGATTCACTTACTACCACCATAGGTGAGAGGAACAAGCAATCATATTGGACGAAATAGGGATCAAAAGCTCCGCCACCAATTTTATGTCTAGCGTCACGGGGTGGTTTGTCAGTGACTCATTGGCCATAAATGTGCGCCACCATTGGCACTTTTCCCAACCATTTCCATGGCACATATAAGGACTGCTGCGTCGTCAGGCAGCAATTCTTCAGATTACTTTAGCTCCCAAGACTCCGATTTTCTCGACGCACTTGCCAAAACTACTTTCCCTGGTGACATCGGCTTTGATGGGCCAGTCGAGATACCAAGAAAGGTTGAAGATGTGGACGAAATACGGGAGTTCTCTCCACCACCGCCGAATCAACAAGCTTTAAAGGTTCCTCTAAAACGAAAACTAGATGGTGATAGCCATCCACACGACCTGGACCCTCAAAGCGAGGAAATCTATGGCGCGGCGCGGTTTGGAGACTTTGGACAATATATGAAACGGAAGAGAGCTAAGTTACAGATACAGAATAAAGATATAGCGGGGAAAGGCGGAATCTTTCATGGAATATCAATCTATGTGAACATTGACATCAACTGGGATCTCGAACTACTCTAACGTTCT